AAAAAAAAAAAAAAAAAAAAAAAAAAAAAAAAAAAAAAAAAAAAAAAAAAAAAAAAAAAAAAAGATAGTCATGTTTTGGGGCGCAGCATACACAAACCCTAAACCCTAAACCCTAAACCCTAAACCCTAAACCCTAAACCCTAAAACAAAATAAAAGATTACTTGTTTAGTTCTTCATCGAGAAGAAGTTTAGTGTTATCTATAAATAAATAAAATAAAACAAAATAAATAAATAAATAAAACAAAATAAAATAAATAAAAAAAATAAATAAATAAAAAGAAAAAATAAATAAACTAAATAAAATAAATAAAATAAAAAAAGCTTACTTGTTTAGTTCTTCATCGAGGAGAAGTTTAGTATTATCAATAAATAAATAAATAAAGTAAATAAATAAAAAATAAATAAAACAAAACAAAATAAAATAAACAAAATAAAATAAACAAAATAAAATAAACAAAATAAAATAAATAAAATAAATAAAATAAATAAAATAAAAAAGCTTACTTGTTTAGTTCTTCATCGAGAAGAAGTTTAGTATTATCTAGCGTATCTCTGTTGCTGATGGTGGTGTCTTTGTCTTCTTTTTTATCTGCTGCTGCTGCTGCTGCTGCTGCAGCACCAAGCAGCAGCTTTGCTTCCTCAGCTAAAGAAGATATTCTATCTGCTGCTGCAGCAGCAGCATCAACTGCTGCTGCTGCTTGCTGCTGCTTCAGACCCTCCATAATAGCCGCTGCACCCTTTCTCCCTCTGTCTGCTGCTGCTGCTGCTGCTGCTGCTGCTGCTGCTGCTGTTGGTGGTGGTGCTGCTGCTGGTGTTGCTCCTCCTGCTGCTCCTGCTGCTGCTGCTGCTGCTGCTGCACCTCTACCTGCTGCAGCAGCAGATGCTATTTCTTCATCCTCATCTTCTTCTGCGTCTGCTGCTGCTGCTGCTGCTGCTTCTGCTGCTGCTGCTGCAGCAGCAGATACAGAAGGAAAAGCAGCATCAATAAGAGAGGGGTGTATTGCTGCTGCAGCAGTTTCATCTATTGCTGCTTCATCTGCTGCTTCTGCTGCTGCTGCTTCTGCTGCTGCTGCTGCTGCTGTTCCTCCTCCTCTTGAAGACCCTCCTGCTGCAGCAGCAGCAGCAGCAGCAGCAGCAGCAGCAGCAGCAAACCCATCATCATCAGAATTTATTTCATCGTCTTCTTCGTCTTCATCTGTCTCTTCTTCTTCATCTTCTGTCTCTTCTTCTTCTTCCTCTGCTGCTGCTGCTGCTGCTGCTGCTGCTGCTGCATCTGCTGCTGCTGCATCTGCTGCTGCTGCATCTGCTTCCTCTTCTTCGTCTTCTCCTGCTGCTGCTGCTTCTCCTGCTGCTCCTGCTGCTGCTGCTGCTGCTGCTGCTGCGTCTTTGGGTCGACGCTTAGGCAGCTCCAGCAGCTCATCTGCTGCAGCAGCAAAGTTGCTGTTTGTTGCTGCTGCAGCAAGCAGCAGCAGCAGCAGCAGCAGCAGCAGATACTGCTGCACAGCTGAAGGCCAAATCATCTCCACTGTTTTTGTTGTTCTTTTTCTGCTGCTGCTGCTGCTGCTGCTGCTGCTACTGCTGCTGCTGCTGCTGCTGCAGCAGGGAACCCTTTAGGCCCGAGGGCGAGAAGACAGAGCTGCTGCTGCCGCTGCTGCTGCTGCTGCTGCTGCTGCTGCTGTGCTGCTGCTGCTGCTGCTGCAGTTACATCCTGGACACTGTGATCCCGGCGGGTGCTTTGCTGCTGCTGCTGCTGCTGCTGCTGCTGCTGCTGCTTCTGCTGCTGTTGCAGTTGGTATTGTTGCTGCCGCTGCTGCTGCCGCTGCTGCCGCTGCTGCTGCTGCTGCTGCTGCTGCTGTGACAGCAGCAAACGAGTAGAGAAGATAAAAATAAATAAAAAGAAAATTAAAAAGAAGAAGGGGAGAGGGTGTGAAGAGGCAGGTGCTGGAGAGCGCTCCAGCCCTAAACCCTAAACCCTAAACCCTAAACCCTAAACCCTAAACCCTAAACCCTCAGCGAATCAATCCAAAGAAATACAACAAAACATAAAATATATATTTATATAAAAGATGATAGCAGCAGCAACTCCTACAGCAACAAATTCATCTGCTGCTGCTGCTGCTGCTGCTGCTGCTGTTTGCTGCTGGTAGCCAGCTCCTGTCGTATCGAGACCCTAAACCCTAAACCCTAAACCCTAAACCCTAAACCCTAAACCCTAAAATATTGATGAACAAAGAAAAAGTAAAACCCTTTTTTATATAGTTATTAGAGCAGATACACAAACCTTCTATCAAATTAGGGTTTAGGGTTTAGGGTTTAGGGTTTAGGGTTTAGGGTTTAGGGTTTACATACACGGAACAACGGGGGGCGTAGCTGCGACACAAACCCTAAACCCTAAACCCTAAACCCTTTACTTGTTTTTTTTCTTTTTATGTTTTACTCTGCATATTCTAAACCCTAAACCCTAAACCCTAAACCCTAAACCCTAAACCCTAGTGTTGTTCTCTCTCTCCCTCCAACCCCAACACCGGGGATCGCTCCCCCCCACCCGATCCCTTCTCCTTGCAGACCTAGGGTTTAGGGTTTAGGGTTTAGGGTTCTAGGGTTTAGGGTTTAGGGTTTAGGGTTTAGGGTTTGTGTGTCACACTATGCCGCGGCCTGCTCTCGGGTCGAGGGCCCCCGCCCCCCAGACACACCGCCTCAAAGAAGCAGCAGCAGCAGCAGCAGCAGCAGCAGCAGCAACAGCAGCAGCAACAGGAGCAGCAGCAACAGAGGGAAAGGCAACAACGGCAACACCAGCAGCAGCAGCAGCAGCAGCTGCTGCTGCTGCTGCTGCTGCTGCAGGTGCTGCAGCAGCGGATGAAAACACAGCAGCATGTCACAATGCAGCAGCAGCAGACGCAGCAGCAGAGGCAGCAGCAGCAGCAGCAGCAGCAGCAGACACAGCAGCAGACACAGCAGCAGCAGCAGCAGCAGGCACAGCAGCGACAGCAGCAGAAACAGCAGCAGCAGCAGCAGCAGCAGCAGCAGCAGCAGATGAAGAAAGTATCTGGATGGCATATACAGCAGCAGAACAGTTTTCTGGTTTTGCATATAATGATTTATTTGCTGCTGATTTTAACCTGCT